ATAGATAGATAGATAGATAGATAGATAGATAGATAGATAGATAGATACTGATGTAGATAAATAGATATAGATTTTAATCATGAATTGATTTCATCCCAACTATATGTTTTATTTGGAATGCCTTTGCTACGACTGGACAGTTGCTTTCTCACCTCCATTCCTGAGTTATCTGTTGATGGTTCTGCCTTTGATTGACATTTTCCATAATGAGGACTATATCCCTTAAGGATGCAGTTGTTGCTTCCAGCCTGTGATTTGGTTGTTGCCCTTCACTGATTATACATATAACTTGTACTCACAATACAAAACACCTCTTCATCCCATCCCTCCCCCACCACTGCCAATAAAAGCAAGTGGCAACAGCTGAAGGGAAAGAATCAACACTTCACAATTAATATGCCATATCATTAACAATTAAGTTAAATGCAATTCAATTTGCTGGTCCCGGGAAAGCGGTACTCTTCCTGAAAGTTTCCACAAACACTTAATAGCCACAGGTTAATTTCCCAAGCAGGAGATAGTATTTAAGCTCCATTCTTTAATATGCTCCAACCATTGGGAAGCTGATATCCCTACACGTTGTGATTAATTGACTTTTTTCTTACTCCCAGCTTGGAGATCTCTGACATTAGAGCTGCCATCTATAGAAGACAGCAGCTACTGCATGGGCAGTTCTGTCAGAGCTGCGGGAATCATTGTTTTCTTTTACACAGATCCACCTATAGTCATTCATAGCATATATTACTATGAGGTTTTGAGATAATATTTCTTAACATCTAGCTCAGATTTCGCCTTTTCCAGGATACTTTCTTGGTCAACCCAGACTAAAATTATCCCTGCTTCCTCTGAAACTATGGTATAGACCATTCACTTGACATGTACTTAATTCTCCCTTCCACGTGCATTTGTTTGATACATGTATTCCCTTTTGGGCCAGTGAATGTACATCCGAGTATGCTTTGTAGATGTAGCTCCACTAGCATCTCCCACAGGACCTTGCAGGTGGTCGGTGTTCAATAAATGTTTTTGCTATGGCTGTGGTGGCACCAAAGTGAGTTATTGATTATGTCTCATCCCTCCTTAACTCTAATACAGAACCCTACCAGGAAGTAAGTACATTGAAGTATAATGAAAAAATCCCATGGTTAGAAGACAAGAGATCTAGCTTCTAATCCTACCTCTTTCATTCATGACAATGAACATTTACTCAAATAGTATTTCAAAGTTTGCAAAGTGTTATATAGAGAAAATGCTGGATGGTGCAGGAAGACTTGAGTTAAAAATCCTACCTCATAAACTTACTACCTCTGTGATCCCTGGACAAGCTATTTGACTTTTTGCCTCACCTTTCTCATCTGTAAAATAGGGAAGTTGGACTTAATGGCCTTTAAAACCCCCTCCAGTTCTAAATCTATGATCCCACAGAATTTCATTTCATCCTGTGAGACAAGTGCTGTTGCTGTTCTTATTTCATGAATAAAGAAACTGAGGCTTAAAGAACCTAAGTGATTTTCCCCAGAATTATACAGTTACTTAATGTTTATAGTAGGGTTTGAACTCAAGTGTTGCTGACTACAATTTTAGTGATCTATCTACTACACCAAGTGGCCCCCCATAGTTAAATGTAGGACCTTGTTTAAATCAGTTCGTCTCTCTGAATTGCACTTTCCTCATCTTTTATATTATGTTATTGGACTAGATGATCTCTATGGTAACTTCCAGATCTTAATTCCATGTTCTTTTTTAACCTCTTCTCATACAGCAGACCCTCCAACCACAAGAGACGTATAGATGCCATTACCTGTATCTTCTCCAACTCTGCAATATTTCCCCAGAGATGAGAGTAAGACAGACTACACATTGATTCACTTCCTCCCAAACTACCTTTACTCTTGACCAACCTAGAATAAGCTGACTTTTTTTTTCTTCTTGCTGAACAGATGCCAAATATATTCAGAAGGAACAGAAGGAACAGTGCCCAGAAAAAAAAAAACTGTATTTTTAAAAATATTTTTTAGCTTTTCCCAGCTGTGTCTGCAAGCAGATAACAAAAGGTCTTTGGGTCAGCCCCTCCCAGGGGTATTTTCTGTACAAGCTTGTGCACTTTCCAATTAAGCCTCAGTGAACTTAACCCTGACATGGAATACAGACTATGCCTACATGAAGCAGAAACACCTGGATGAAAAATGGAAAATTCAGTCCACAGTTTGTTTTGACTACCCAGAGCTAAACAATTTCTTTGACTAAACTTTTTTTTTCCCTTAAGTTCAAGTCCAAATGCTTCAATTTGGTGTACACTAATGATAGTTCAGATTTCCATAGAGTTTTGTGGTTTACAGAATATTTTCTTCACATCTGCCCTATGAAGCAGATAATAAAAGTATGATTAGTCTCATTTTATAGGGGAAGAAGCTGAGGCTTAGAAAATTTAAGGTCTTTGATTGAAAGAAAATCTTTCTATTTGTGATAGCGCATACCTGTGATCCCTGCTACCCAGGTGGCTGAGGTTGGTGGATAGTTCAAGCTCAGGACTGCTGAGTTGTGGTAGCTCAGATCATTTGGGTGTCTGCACCAACTCTCACACCAATATGGTGAGCCCCTGGGAGTCCAGGCAACCACCAGGCTGCTGAAGTATGGATGAACCAAGAAACAAATTAGTTCTAAGTTCCTGTGATCAATAGTGAGATTTGGCCATGGCTAACCACCACACTTCCCGCTTGTGTGAGATGGGGAGATCTAGTTTCCAAAATAAAAAATAAAAAGAAACTTTGCATAGTAGAAAAAACTTTGACTTTGGAGCTGGACCAAATGGCTTTGAATCCCAGCTTTGTTACTTATTATCTATATGACCTTTGGCAAGGTATTTCAAATTGCTGAGCTTCCATGTCCTCATTTTAAAAATAAGGACATAGGGAAAAGAAAGTATGGTGGAAAAAGCATTGGATTTGAAGTTCAAGAACCTGATTTCAAATATTGACTCTGTGATTTATTACCTACATGACCTTGGACAAGTTATTTAACCTCTCTCAGTCTCAGTTTCTCATCTACAAAATGTGGGACCTGGACTTAATGATTTTTAAGCTAAATGCTAATGAAATAGTGCTTCATAATCTAACGTCATTAGGTAAAATGTAAGAGGCTGTGGTATTTGATATTGGAAGGAAACTTAGAGGTTAGCTAATCCAACCCATTCTTTTTAAAGATGAAGAAACTATGACCTAGGGGCACAAAGTGACTTGTCCAAAGTCATGCAGATGGTCCTTGGTAGTGCTGGGATTCAAACCCAGGTCTTTTTTTGGGGAAAAAAAGCCTTCCTTTGTACCAAACTACTTCACCAGTAAAACAACCCACCTATTAAGTTTGAATTCCTTGATTTATAATATGATCAATGAGGGCTTTTCAAACCCAAATGAAGAGGGGGGGTACCCAAATGGGGACATGAAAGAAAAAGTACAGATAGCCAAGAATATAGCCTAGGGAGGATTGAAGAGAAGGCAGGGCTGGGCTTTCTCCTTAAAATGGAAGTTCTTGGAGGAGTTGGACCATCAGAGGAAGAGGCTTGCAAGGCAAGAGAACTCCCATTGTGAGAAATCCAGAAATAGAGTCAACTTTCAGAATAAAGAGGATTTGTAGTATAGTAGAGGACTCAGAGCTCACTAGTGGAAAATTTGAAATTAGAGTCTACATTTATTGACTGCCTGGAAGATGGAGGTGGGGGAGGGCAGGTTTATGAAAGGAAAGGAATCTTCAGGGTCCATGTGAAAGAATCTATAATTAGACAAGAGCCAGCTGAGGATAAGACCTTGTAGGAGGATAAGCCAATAAGCCAAAATAATAAATCTCAAGATGTTTAGCTATCATTAAAAATATTTGTCTTCTGAGGTCCTCAGCACTTGTGGAGGAAGGGGATATTGCATAAGAATGGAACACAGGATCAGAACATGAGTGAGGCATTGGTAAGTAAAGGAAAGTGGGTTGGGACATTTATTGGGCAGATGGGAGGATACTAAAGACAAATTTCACTGGCTTCATCTTTTAGATGATCCACGTTCCTCTCAAATCAGACAAGGCTTTTGGGACTTTCCAAAGACTTCTGTCCCTTTAGGAATCCAAGTAGTCTGATTTTTAGCTTAAATTGAAGTTTAACCTAATACTGTTTTCTGTTTTTTTTTTTTTTAAGAGACTAACCATCCTATTGAGTTAAATGTCCTCGTTTAAAAAGATTACATATATTCCAGTTAAATAATAGCTGTGGGAGAGGGCAATTAGCAGGCTCGGTCAGGAGAGAAAAGATGTTTTCAGATGAGATTTGAAATGAGATAGAGAGTCAATGAGGCAGAAAGATACAAGACATTTTTCCTCTGAAATTTCCTTAAATTTGTTACTAATGATACCTTAAGATCTGGGATTTTTTACTTGAAAAAGCCATGTCATGATCAAGAGGAGAGATCAAGGAGACTAACTATCTACATGACCTTGGAAAAGTCACTTCCTCTACTTTTTCTCATATTCGAAGTGATAAGGTAAGAAATAACATTCTATGTTCAGAGGCCTCTTTCACCTTTGAAATTTAGAGTACCTTCCTACCCTATCATTCTAGCAGCTGTTCCTTTCTAGTTCTAGCACTCTAAATTCTATTATCTATGTTCTAAAGCACCCCCCTTCCTGTAGAACCATTTTACGTTCTATGTTCTAACATTCTAAGATCTCATCTATTAAAAAGCAAAGTTTGATGGTTCTATGACTGAAATAAAATGTAAACTCCTTGATGGTAGGGATTATTTTGGATATTTATTTGTATCCACAATGCTTAGCATAGAACCTAGCACACAGTAAAAGCTTAATGAATGTTTGGTGATTGATTAGTTAAAATAGACCCATAATTGATTCTATTCCCAACCACATTTGGATTCTCTTTTGGATTCAGGTTGGTTGATTTCTCTGATTTATTATCATCTATATCTCCTCCCTAAGACTGCCTTCTTCCATCTTCAAGGGAACAATCTAGATTCAGGGTTCTCTTATTTGGTGAACTTGAATGTACTCACTCCACTCATTTTCCTGATTTTACAGACTTTAATCAGATCCCCTTTGGAGAGAAATAAATCACCTTTCATCATGACAGTATATACAATGCAGCTTTGCTGATCTCAAGGTAGCTGTTCAAACATACCACTGTATTATCACCACCAAGTCCACTTCTTGGTAATGCAGAGATGTTGTATATACCTAATTGCACCAAGCAATGGTTCTTAAGGAATTTATGTGGCCCTATGGAGTGTTATTAATAGGTACTTCTTTATAGGGGTGTAATTTTGGAAGCAATTTCCCATGAAATTGTTGGGAGAGTGCCCATATACGTTTGATCCCATTTGGAATAATTTTCATTTAGCCCAATGACTGCCCTAATAACGTTTTTCAATAGAGATGCTGGTCTGGAAAGACGGGGAGCATTTATCTAATGTGTTTGTCCCCTGACAAACTTATTGCTGAGTGAGACTGCTGGAACAATGAACAATGTTCTATAAGAAGCTGAGACATGAGTCATTTTCTGATCTACCTTCTCTGATAGGTTTATTGAGATATGTACACATGAAATAAAGGCTTCTACTTTCTGCTAAAGGGATAGTCTAGGGGCACAGCGCTGTACAACCTGGCCATAGAAGAACTACAAGGCATTAAATAGCACTATATTACTCAATTCTATTTAACTGTGATTCTTCAGAATGAGCTACTTTGCCAGGGAATTAACAGAATCTGCTTGGGACTTCCTGTATTACACAACGAGAGAGTAAGGGATTCAGATAGGAACCTTTCCCTCCCAATTTATGCTGGAAATGCAGCGTGTTGTCATTGGTAAGACCAGTGGCCTACTCTTCAGAATATATGAATTCTAGTCCCAGCTAGACCACAAATTTGCTAAACGATCTTGGGCAAATCATTTTCATCTCTAGGCATCACTTTCTTTGGTTATAGAATGAAAGGGTTTGGTTAGAAAGACTTTTAAGGTTCCAACTCTAAGAAGTTAGATGTACTAATTCCTAACTTCTTTGGTATCCTTATATTATGAAGTTTTCTATTGATAATAATAGTTCCCAGGAAATGCAAGACCCTCAATTCCAAAACAAAAATAAAGCATGTTCAGGATAGTTTTGGAGTTAAATGATGTTTTTTTTTTAAAGAAATGTAATCCTTTGAAAAGCTGTCATCTACTCAAACAAGAATATTTTAAAATTACCTATACCCTAGTTCAGTGATTAAAACATTTAGACATTCTATAAATATACATTGAATTAATGAACAAATAGATGAATCTTAATACCATACTCCATGACCATTCTGGATGAGTGAAATCATATGGTCTCATCTAAATTAACCAATTATCATTTTTCACAGAAGATAAGGAGAACCTTAATCATGAACTGGTTATTTATTTATTTATTTGTTCATTTTCTTTCCAGTCTAATCCTTATCCTTTTGTGTCTGTATATGTGGACTAGAATTGAACACGAATGGAATTTCCCATACAAGATATCACCATTAATGAGGTATAAGTTCAAGGGTGATATCATCTTTCCCCAAATCTCTAACTTTTTAAATCCTCTTTAAATTCTTCTAATTAGGAAAAAGAGAGAGACTGAAGTAATTACTCATACTCTGTTAATCTTTTCTTTGTCACTTCTGAGATTCTGGGAATTTGGGGAAACTTTGCTTCCATTATGATTTTCCTCCTTTAATATATATAATATGTAATCATTATGAAATATAATTACAAACTCTTGTCCTTTTAATAAGTATTTCATTTTTTCTTATCCTTTTCCCAAATTCAAGGATGAATCAACACTGCCTTACCTACTTGTCTTGCTGTATAGTGCACTTGTTCATAACTCAAATATTTTCTATTTTTATTTTCAGTAGTTAATGCTTAGAATATAGGAAAAATAAATTATCAAAATGAAAAAAAGCCTTTCCCAAGGCTTTCAGTTACCTCTTTAGGTGGTACCATGAGAAGGAGTTTCCAAAAACCAGGGTAAAGTGCTAAAACAACATCAGGGAAATAAGAGACCAAGAATATGATAATCCTTGAAACTGATTTTTTTTTCTCTGCTACACATAGAATATAAAAGAGAGGAAAATGATTAAAAAAGCTGTGGAAGCTAACAAAGTTTGGGGAGATGTTTATGCCTCATGCCCAAACTTCTCCATATATACATGTGTGATTAGGTATGTGCAACTTGGATTAGTTGGATCAGTATTAGTTCAATTTTAAATTGACTTTAAAGTTTAAAACTGCACTAAGACTTTGGGGGAATCTTATCTATGTTAAAAGGATCAGTCATTCCTTTACAGGATGCCTACTTATTGAGAAACCTGTGAAGATAGAGATGAATTAGGAGTTCCCAGTAGTCTCAGAGGAGAGAGAGAGACACAGAGACACAGAGACAGAGAAAACAGAGAGAGACAGAGAGCAGAGAGATACACAGACAGAGACAAAGAGGAGAGAAAAAAACACAGATGGAGAGGCACACAGAGAGAAAAAGAAAGACAGAGCAACAGAGACAGAAAGACAGAAACAGAGAGAGACATAGAGACAGAAAAAATAATGATCTATTCAGTTCCTATTACACGCAAACATACTGGAGATATAAGGTTTAGATAAGATATGATCTTCCTACCCTCATGAACCTAAGTTCATGAAATCTAATTTATAGATAAAGCACAAGCAGTGATAGCTATAAAGTAAAATATCACAATGAGTTTAGTAGAGAAATATAAATCAAAGTCTCCGGGGCCTGATTCTCTTATTCACTAGTCATAAGTAAGTTACCAATCAGTGGAGTAAAGCTTTGTGATATCGATCATGTAGAAGGAAAGTACCCACCCCCAATTCCCCACCCCTACTTCTCCAGGTAGACTGTAGAATGATAAATACCCCCAAATTGTTTGGGGGAGATATATTCCAGAGAAGTAGATATCTTCCCTAATCAAATGGAACCTAAATTTTCTCCAACCTCCACAATTCTGAATAGCTCCACTTTCATTTGATTCCCCCACCCATTTCAGTTCAATATTCATTTGGTAGGCAATTAATGTGAGATGGAAGTAAATGCAGAGACCAGTGGTGAATACCACAGCTAAGGGCTTGGCCTAGGTAGGGAGACATGGCTATGTATATATTAAGGGATTTGATAAGAATTTGGAAATGTTTCTCAAATTGAAGCAAGTTATTGAGCCAAAGGGCTTCCTCTGTATGTCTCTATGGACATATATGCATGTGTTTTTAGTCTTTTGAGTCTTAAAACTCCAGGTTGAAGAATAGAAGACATATAAAACACAAACCAGTGACTATCCAATGTATATATTTGACTCAAAAAATCTCTGTGGTATGTCATGAAAAATGAGTGAGCCGTGAGCAAACTGAGGGAGAGAGGACTGTGGGTGTTGTCAAGATATATTCCAACTCCCTTGGCAGTAACCCAAAACAACTGTGGAAATTTAAAAAAAAAAAAAAAAACCTTGTGTCCCAGACGCCCAGGTATCAAGTCAAACTCTGTAAGCAGGAATGATGTAAAACCAAGGAGAGAGACTAAATGTTTTCAAATCCCTCCACCTGCCTCCACCAGAATGAGGTGGGAGGGTGAATGGGAGCAAAAAGAAATAACATTGTTGTCAAGCCATTGAGGTTCTGGACCTGTCATCAAGAGAACTCTGTTCAGATCAATCTCAGGCACTTACTTGGTGAGCTAAACATTTAACTTTTGGGAACATATTTCTCTATTTGTGTCACTGGAGTATCTCACAGGGTGGTTCTCTTTTTTTATTTTATTTTTTATTAATTTATTTCGATTTATCAACAATCACTTCCACATGCTTTTGAGTTTGAAATTTTTCTGCCCCTTCCTCCCCACTACCCTCCCCAAGACATGGCACACAATCTGATATAGACTATACATATGCATTCCTATTAAACATATTTTCACATTAGTGATGTTATAAGAATTAGAACCAATAGGAGGAACCACCAGAAAGAGGAAACAGAACTCAACAGAAAAGAAAAAAATAGCAAATAGTATGCTTCGATCTGCATTCAAACTCCATAATTCCCTCTTTGAATGTGAACAACATTTTCCATCATGAGGCCTTTGGAGGCCTAAGACCATAAGGTCTTAGATCCTTGCATTACTCAGAAGGGTTATCAATTGGGGAATGACTTGTATTCTTATAAATTTGAATTAATTCTCTCTATATTTTAGAAATGAGGCCTTTATCAGAGACACTGGTTGTAAAAATTCTTTCCCAATTTTCTACTGTCCTTCTAATCTTAGTTGCATTGGCTTTGGTTGTGCAAAAACTTTTCAATTTAATGTAATCAAAGTTATCCATTTTACTTCTCGTAATGTTCTCTATCTCCTGTTTGGTCATGAATTCTTAAGTTCTCCAGAGATCTGATACGTAAACTATTTCTTACTCTCCCAGTTTGCTTATAGTATCAGCCTTTATATCTAAATCACGAACCCATGTT